CCAGTTCTTCTTGGTCCTTGTTGACAGCCATTCAAAATGGCTTGAGGTTGTGCCTGTCTCATCCACCACCACTGCAAAGACTATTCAGGTACTGAGGGGGATTTTTGCTGCACACGGGCTGCCAGATGTCATTGTGTCCGACAACGGCCCTCAATTCACCTCCTCCGAATTCCAAGCTTTCTTACAGGCAAACCTGATTCGTCATGCCACGTCTGCGCCTTTTCACCCGTCCACCAACGGTATGGCTGAACGCATGGTGCGCATCGCAAAGGACGCCTTGAAGAGACTCACCTACGGGGACTGGCATCACAGGTTGGCTGACTTTCTCCTTTCTTATCGCACCACACCGTCCACTTCTACAGGGAGAAGTCCAGCTGAACTTCGTTGGGGGCGCCAACTTACTACTAGACTTGACCGGTTGCATCCGGACAGACTGCCTTCATCTACCTCACATCCTAGGGCACCTAGACAACTACTTGTGGGTGCCCCGGTTTGGGCTCGCAATTACGGGCCTGGTCATACATGGGTCCCCGCTTCTGTGTCCAGAATCACAGGTCCTCTCTCCTACGAGGTTGCCCTGGACAACGGTCGTGTCCTGCGTCGGCACATCGACCAACTTCGCTCTAGGCGAGACTTTTCTGCTGAGACTCCTGGGTCTTTTCCAGGGGGGGAGGGGGACCCTTTGGAGCAAAGGGAAGGGCACGAGCTGCTGCCCATCTCCACTGAGGGAGCCACAAACGGCCCATCCCAGGGTTCCGCGAGAGCTCCGAACAGGAATTCCATGAGCTTACCTAACTACCAGGCATCCACGCCTACTCCAGCCAGGGAGTCACCCCGGGGGCATACTCACTTTCCACACACATCACACAGCACTCCAGCAACGGAGGATACCCGGGGGCATCCCAACAAATCATTCCCCGCAAGAGAACTGGCACACAATTCCCAAGGTTGGCCTGACCTTACCCCAAATCCTACAGGGGGTCAAACATACACAGAGTTAGTCGAGGAACCAGTCCCGACTACAACAACCCTAGCACAAATCAGGGAACACCTGAGTTTTGGGAAAGTACAGAAACCCACACGAGCCCGAACACAGAATGGGGTTCAGGGAATGGACAGCCTCCTGACAGGTCTTGGACTGACCTAGGAGGTTCTACAGAGACGCCCAGCAGCGGCTATCACTTCAAGGGGCCTGAGGGTCTACAGCTAGGTAGGTCAACCAGGTCACAAAGTAACAGAAGCCCTGGCCTGACGAGCCCGGTGGGCAAGCAAGCAGGCCAGGCATCGGGCACAGTCCTTGGAAGACACCAGGACACAATAGAGAGAACAGGCTCACGCCTCCCTCCAGTCAGGGGACTTATGCCAGTAACCCACAGCTAAGAAGGTCACAGAGAGCAAAGAAATCTCCCAAGTACCTAGAAGACTACATAACATTGCTGGCAAGGCAAAGGCCAGTAAACAGTGGGAGCACTGGGGAGCAAAATGTCATATAAAATAAATGTTGTATGTTGGTAGTAGTTTTAGCCCGGGGGAAAGGGGTGTTATGTCCCGAGCCTTTGCAAACGGCTCGGGCGTTTGCAGGCAGTCCCGGGCAGGTGCAAAGCTGCCCGGGACCAGACAGGCTGTCGCCAGCGCCGTGCGCATGCGCGGGTGCTGGCGCGGGAAAAGTAACCCATTTACCCGGGAGTTGCCTATATAAGAGGCTGCGAGGCGTTTGGGCGAGGCTGAAGTCATCTTCCTGTAAGCTGAACGCTGAATAAAAGAAACTGAGAACTCCAGCTGCTTCTCGTGTCTGTTTTCCCGCCAAGGACGCAACAGTTTCCAAAGTCAGGAGACGAGCATTGGGCTATCATGAATTGTCAGAGGTAGTACTAGATAATAAGCATTGATAATTCAATAGCTGATAGATGGGAGCAGGGAGGGAAAGTCAAAGGACTATATATGGGAAATTAGAACCCATACATAATTTTCTTTGGGACCAATTAATGTTATTCAAGTTTGCATATTCTTAATCAGAAATATGATTTAATTTAAGTTGCAGTAATTTAAGTCACAGGCCAGAAGGGGAGCATCTTTTATAATAAAAATCAACAAGTCACCATGTCGATGGTGGGGTTCTCAATATTTACTGATCTAATTTATAAATAAAAACACCATCTAAATGAAATTACAGTAACCAGGTGGGAGCTGACCACTGCAGGAACAAATTAGGCCTGAGCATAAATATTTTAGGATAAAATTGCAGACACTTTCATTTATTTTATGAGCTAGATTAGAGAGATTTCTTCTAGGTGGTGGCAGGAAGAAAGAGAGAAGAAAGAGTCCTTCCTCTCTCTTGTTTGCATTGTTACCGGTGATTTTTTTAAAAAAAAAAATATCACAGAACAAATTATAGTATAGTGTTCAGTTGCAATAAAGACATTCAGCCACAATATCCCACACAACCACTATTGAGACCACAAGCGGTCTCAAACAGCCTCCTGTTTTTTATGCAAGAGATCACAGATTCAACCTATGGAGTTCAGAGGCATCTGTCCTTTTTATCAAAATGACAAGAGCAGCACTGAACTCTCATACTACAAACTCTGACCTTTTCACAGATGTGATGCACATACAAAAAGGAGTAAAGCTTACAATGTCACACCACAAGACTGCTTTCCTCTTACTTCCATACAGTGGTCCCTACGTACAGAAGAACACCTCTGGCAAAATTACTTAAGTGCAGAATTAAGTTCATTTGAAAGCAGAACAAACAACAAGAAAAAAGATTGGCTAAGAAAGCAGAGATACAATTCCCATTTCCACTGGCATTGGCAGTTTATATAAAAGCCCTTTTCACATCATGTCTGAAAGGACACATAACTGGTAACATTCTCACAAATTCATGAAATCCTCTATCTCCTTGATTGGCATAATTTCCACAGTCGTGGGCATGCTGACTGTTCAAATGAGTATACACCAAAACATTAATGCCTTACAGTACTTTCTTCCATATCGAATATACATGTCACCGCAATTATTAGTTCAGTATATTTCTTGTAACATTGAAGAAGGGAAATCTTAAAGTTCTGAATGGTGGCTTCTTTCTTTACATATAGTCAGTCTTCGTAAGAGCAGTCTATATAGTCAAACTAATTCCCATCTCCAAAGTCTTAGTGTGAGCTATTTGACTGACAGCATGGCTGATTGATTATAATTGCCTTCTATTGCCAAGAATTTGCCAACATTAGTCATCCTCTTTCCATATGGTGGTGGCCAGTTTTAATTATCAGAGCGTCTTAAGATGAAAATTTAAAAGTAAAAACAAGCAAAAACCCTTCAAAGGAACCAAACACCCCACAGAACAATGTTTAAAAGTGCAATAAAATATTGATACTGTAAAATGATTCAAAAGAGAAATAAAAGACATGATGTAATTTCAGAGGTTGAAGAAGAGAAAATAAAAGAAAGTGGAGCGGACTGGAGTTTCTCCAGGGAGAATGAGGAATGCCTTTAACAGCCTGTATGGCTTTACAGGAATATTCCTTTCACTTGCCAGGTGCTCGTGGAGAAAAGAAAACATTTTTTATCCCACTCTGGGCTGCTTTAATCATACTCCTGCATGTCAAATAAGACATTGCACTTTAAAGCCACGGAGGAAGAAAGCTGAAGCAGAATTGCCACAGGGAAGAGGAAATTTCAAATTAAATAGTGGAGGTATTCAAATTAAATAGTGGGAAGAGAGGATAAAAGTAGGGTCCATCTTTATTTCTTAACCCAATGCTACAATATTTTTTCAAAGCTAGACAGACTATGGTTCGCAACTGTCAATATAAAATAGCATACATTCAAAGGATTTAATGGAGCATATATTAGGAGTTAGCTTTTCATTTCCACAGGGGAACAGTACTTCAGATGCATTTGCCATTCAACATAACTTTAAATATACTTAAGATATACGGTGTATTTATTTTTTTTGGCTTTAGGCATAAAGTACTGTTGATGCTAGTTCTCAAGAGAAATCTTTAAAAATGAAAAAGCAATAAATCTGGGCTTGGTTTGCAGGAAAATGGAGGTACATCACCAGATACGTTGACCTTCTTTCCATTATCTGTATCAATAAGGTTAGTTAAAAATAAACAAGTAGTTGGGGTTAACAACTACTCTCACCAAGAGCTCTCACCAAGAATGCTATTTTATATCAGCTTTAGGATCTAACCAATATTCATAACTTTTTCAAATATTTGCTAAACTCTCGGTGCAATCATAAAGCAGCCATATGCCGAGAATATTAGCTGAGCAAATAACTGAATGCAAATAAACAAGAGTATTACTTCAAAGGCCAATAGCATTCAGAAAATGATACACAAAACCAAACAAAAATCCAATATGTCCCATATGTGACAATCTACCTTGATACGTTGGCTTGAGTTCAAGTATTATAAAGCAAAAGCATGACTGTTATATTTTTTAAATCATCTAATATTGTCCTTAAGTTTGTAATATATCTAAATATACTTTTTACAGCACAGAAAGAAGACAACTGCCATATTTAAATTAAATATTGAATTTGGCCATACTAAAAGAATCTTACAGTACCATTTATGCTAACAACTGTCATCTATATACATACACAGTATATAAAGGGAAGGGAGTCCCTGTGAATTTTAGTCTGCTAATCATTGCCAGCCATAGGGGGTGGTGCTCATCTCTGTTTCAAGGCCATTGAGCCAGTGCTATCCGAAGATATTTCCACGGCCATGTGGCCAGCATGACATACATAACAGAGCACTGTTACCTTTCTACCAAAGTGGTACCTATTTATCTTGCATGTTTTAAACTGCTAGGTTGATAGGAGGTGGAGCAAGGATGGGAGCTCATCCCATCACGTGGCACTCAGGTCTCAAATCTTTCCAGCTGACAAACCCAGTGTCTTAACTGCTGAGCCTTTTATTTGAATATACAGTATATTCTTAAAGGTAAATCCATTAAGTGCAGTGGACTTAAGGTGTATTTCTTACCTGCAACAAATGACAGCCTTGCAGGACAATGCTAGGTCCAAGAAGGACTGCCTCACTTCAAAGGACAGGGCAAACTTCAAAGTCTGGCCATCTATAATCAAAGCAATATCATTTTCTTTGCCTAGTGAGTCTCCTAGATTTTCACAATGGTGTGTTAATGCAGCTCTTGTTGCCTAAATGAAAAAAGAGGGCAGGGGAGAAGAAAACAACCTTTTATTACCATTTTTGTTAAGTAGTACAGCCCAAACTGAGAAACTTGAAGAATTTATTCAAGGATGAATTCTGATAGAATCCACATTTGTTATTGCAAGTATATTACAAAAAGATGAAAATGCACGAGAAAGGAGGCAATATGACTTTCAGATTACAGACATGATCTATTCTGATGGAAATCTTTTGAATTTCTCCAGTTACTGGATCAGTCATTAGCTGTTGCTAGGTAGTATTGGTATAACTTGTGATATTTTCCTTCAGTCCAGAATGCAGTGGGTGAGTTTTGTACCAATATTCCACATAAAGAGCTAACAGAATAAATATACAGCTCTTTCCTGAAGCTGTAAAATGCAAAAGTTTATATGCTAAATTACATAAACTAAATTGGGGTGTGTATTCTATGTTAATTTCCATCATTGCAGGTTCTTAAACAGGACTTTAGTTTGAGCTGCTTCTCATTAAGATCTTAATTTTTTAAAGTTTTATTTTGCTACTGGCCTTAATCTGTTCAAATTAATATAACTGGCTTCTGAAATGTTTCAATTTCTGTTTTTAACATAGACTGTATTTTATTACCATTTCATTTGGGATGCCTTGCTTTTCCTTGGCCAGAGAACTATAAAATATAAAAATCTGCCAGTTTCGAACTCAACTGATATAGTATGAAATACGAAAATGCTAGCCCATTAGCCATATACTTCCAGATTATTTTGTTTTATTTCCAACCCCAGTATACTGGGCCCTTTCTGGGCCTTCCTCACAATGAGCATAAACAAATTTAGTGACTACTCCACCCCCTATAAAATTATAAACAATTATCTCTCCATCCCATATCCTATCTCTTATCTACAAACAAATCCATAAATCATTTTTTCAGTCCTGGTGTCCATAAAAAAATCCTTAAAGGGTTATTTTAATCTTGATCAAATAAAAGTAAAAGAAAGAAATCTAAAGTTGTTTTAACAATCTTAATCTTTAGTTCATTCAAATATTGTTGTAGGATTTGGTTTCTCTTCATTTTTTCTTTGTTCCATCATGTAGAATTCATCAAGGTCTTAACAAGCTTTCTTTAAATAAATCCAAAGGGGAAAAAAATTTCCAGGTTGTTCTTTTGAGTTATCATTTGTGTTTCCCTTTTGAATTTTAAAACATCAGCCAATTTCTTTTATAGATCCAGTGAAACATTATTTTTCAAGTCATTCTCTTGGCTTGTTAGTTGTAAATGCACTTTTGTTACTATCTTTATATTATTAATAAAATATGTTCTACATCTGTTATTTCTTCAATAACATATTATGGACATAGTCTGTCCATAGAAGCAGATATCTTTACTAACATTGTTGATATTCTGTGTTGGAATATTCATGAGCAGGAAGAGTCATGTGGTAACTCAGTCAGGCAATGTGAGAAAAGTGCTACTGAGTCTGTGCAAAAAAGGTATTGAGTTAGAAGCTAGATCTTTTATCCAGTCTCAGGTCTGTCTCTGTATCTCTCTGTAAGAAGTCTTCATTGTGCTATGTTGCTGTAAAGACGAATGTATGGTATTATAAATATTTTGATATGAATATAAAGAGGTTACTTGAATCAGCTAAATGCAGTCAACTCTGAGAGCTTCTGATTTATTTTTACCAACAGAGAAATTAAAATTCTCTAACATTCTGCTACTACTTTCTGATTCCATTCTTCAAAAGTCTATTTCAGTATTTTCATTGCTATAATGCTTTGCCTCATTTTGCAGGTTTGTGTTTTCTTCCTCTGCCTAAAATCTTTAGTTGCCCCTAGTATCCAGTTTTTAAAATAATTAAATTATTTATCTGTGTTATGTCAATGATTAATTTAAATGAAGGATGGAGAATTCTAATTAATTAAATTCTTCCAATCTGATACGCTTTAGAGGGGTGAACCATCATGTTACTTTCCTATTCCACATTTGCCATCAATTAGCAGAGGACCTCTTACTATTACCTTATTTTGTTTAGTGTTAGCAACTAGATAACAACATCAGACTATGATCTTACAGATTTGAGAGGTATAAGGTGAAGAAAGAAAAGCATACTTCCCATAGAAGAGAAACCCAGAACATTTGTATCACGATCCTAAATATGTTCTTTTCTAATTCTGATTATCAAATACGAAGTTCTGGGCTTCCCTTCTGTGGAAAGTATGCAAATGGAGCCAAGGCAGGTCTGACAGTTGGAGAATAGATAGCTCAGAACTGACCTAGATCCAATCCAATATCTGTAATTAGTATTTCTGAATCAATGCAACCTCAACTAAAGATCTTTAATTATATGCTTAATATGCATAAAGGAAATCAACCCTAACTATTGTTTAGAAGGACAGCTACTGAAACTGAAGCTCAAATACTTTAGCTACCAAATGAGAACAGAGGAATCATTGGAAAAGACCCTGATGTTGGGAAAGATTGAAAGCAAAAGGAGAAGGGGACAGCAGAGGGTGAATGGTTGTGTCATGGATGCAATGAACATGAATTTGAACCAACTCTGGGGGGCAGTGGAGGGCAGGTGGGTCTGACATTCTATGGTCCATGGGGTCACAAAGAGTCAGACATGAGTTAGCAACTGAACAACATATCAGAGTTTAGATTATTTCCCTTTATAATGCTCTAAATTGCAGACACAGCTGCAGAAAATAAAAGTGGGTATCACAAGTAAAAGTAATATATTATGCACCACTGTAATTTTTTGCATGTTTTTGATTTAGTTTCATCCTGTGGTGAATTTATACAGGTTAATTTAAATATTGAACATATTGCTTTCCAGACCAATCTATTCATGTGGATGCTGTTCTGGGGGAAAATGAAAGTTGAAAACATTCACCATTTTAAAATAATGGGGAAAACCCAGGATAGAAACTTAACAAATACATAAAGATTAATTTCCACCATTTTGAGAGGTAAATTTTAAGAATGAATACTTATAAAACTCACATAGTATTATTCTTAGCTGTAAAATTTAATTCTCCAGATTAATTCTATTTTAGAAAGCATTTTTCCAGAGCATTCTGGAAAATTTAAACCAGCAGTATTTGTTGAAATATGAATGACTTTTCTTTAAGTTGTGAAAATCACCCCATCTCAAAACTACAAAAGAAGAAAGGCAGCTTCACTCCCATCCAAATTCAACACAGAGTAAACATTCTGCTGAAAGTTCAATAAAGCTTGAATATGAAGCATTTAAAGAATGGACAGAATATTCCATCTATAGAATTAGAAATGATAATATCCGGCGTGAGATTGAATAATCCTATAAATACAAAACTTTTTGAGGGAAAAATGAGAATGATCTAATTAGAAAGATCTAATTTAGCTTCAACAGTGCAAGAAAAACAATGAATGAATCAACATTTCTTCTATTTTTACGAAATTAAATTAAAAAGGTATTTTCAATGTTAGCTGACAATATCCTGCATAATTATTAGTTGATTTCTGACAATATATTTTCTGCAATATATTTTCTAAAACACAAGCTATTTAATATGTTTCCAACATGTTTAACATTATTCTACAAAGCTTCTAGGATTCAGCTGTGTTAATCATAGCATTTTGTCCAATGGGTTACCCGATGCCTTTGAAAATGTTTCCTTAAACAAAGAAAAAAAAAGTTGACAATGCTTTTCATTTAATTTAGGCACAACAAAACCTACATATGTTTTTCTCAACCTAATTTTCTGAGTTAACATGACACACTAAGTTATATACTGAGCAGACCTACCAGGTGGGTAGGCAAGGACAGCTCAGCTTTCAGACCTGTTAATGGGTCATAAGTGGCTATCTGCTGAGGAGAGCAGAAAGGTTCTGGGTGAAAAACATCAGCTTATTTTGTTTTTCAGTTTGGGGAAAAGGAGTGAAAGAGTGGGAACTGCAGCATCTGTCTTCTATTATTTTTGAAGCAAAAAATGCACACCAAATTTTGACTACAGCTAACTCTCGATTTACGATCACAATTGGACCAGAATTTCTGCCGCTAATCAAGGCAGTTAAGTGAGTCACACCCATTTTATGACTGTGTTTGTCGTGATTGTTAAGCAAATCACCAGTCATTATGCAAATCCAGCTTACTCCATTGACTTTGCTTGGGAAGTTTACGAGTAGTGATCACATGACCCCCAGAGTCTGCAATCTTTTTGAATGTGTGGTCAAGTACCCAGATTGTGATCACGTGACTGAAGGATGCTGCAACAGTTGTAAATGCAAGAACCACCATAGGACACTTTTTTCAGTGCTGTTATAAATTCAGACGGTTGCTACACAAATGGTCATAAGTTAAGGACCAACCGTATTTTGTTGTCTGATCACACACATCTTACAGATTATCTATTCCTGGCTTAATGAGGTATGTGAAGAATCCATTTGTTAATCATGTAAATAATAATAATAATGTTATTATTATAAGATACACATCTAGCTATTTATAGCTTACTTAACAAATGCTGACAATGTGTGCCTTGATTGTGATACGTGAGCCCAGCTTAAACAACAAGCAAGAGGAAAAAGCCAATGTTCATATTAAGATACAGCAACTCCACCATACAGAATAAGCTGATGAACTATATACATTACTGATTGAAATTAAACCCACTGAAGACTAATTTAATCAACTGGAAACATCGCATGTTATCTTTTAACCCATGCTGGGAAAATATTTAAGCATATGCATTACTATCTTCCTCTCTGCTAATGCTCAGCAAAAAAGAAAAAAAGAAAATCCCTATTTAATAACAAGGAATTAGCCACACTTTAGGTACCATTTTCTGATTAATCACAAATCTCGGGGGAACGGGCATAGTTTGTACACTGATCGTAACCCCCAAAAATGAGAATATCCAGGGAAGGCTTAGTTGTTTTTCCTTTTCCTAAATTATAAACAGGCAATTGCAAAAGAATATATAGCAATTCCATAAGGTTTCTGGATGTAGCCAGAAAACTTCAGAATGGCCT